GAATTCTTTTTGTTCATTGCATGACATGGTGATATAGATTTTTCTTGAGCTTTCAAACATTTTTTGTTTAATTATACATATACAAGGCGAGTGGTGGCGTAGTGTGTAGCACTATTTGAATATATATATATATATATATTTATTTGACATGGCCATTAAGAGATGAGGAAGATTTTAGACAAATTGTTTTAATCAGCAAAAATGTATGAATCAATTAAATGTGATGATAAATTATTATGGCACAAACTTTTTATTCATGAAAGAATACAGAAAATGGTTGCTACAGTACAGTTTACTAAGCATCACAATTACTTATAGATTTGAGCATTTTGAGCTTCAAATAAGCACGATTTAAATAATTTATAAAGGATCATGTGACAATAAAGACTGTGATGACTGCTGTAAATTCATTTAAATTTTGCTATCTTAATAATACAATTTAAAAATACAATATTAAAATATTATATTATTTTGGATATGATGTGTGTATCTATTCTGCAATGATGCACAGTATGCATGCTAAAAAAATTACCTTAGTACTCTTTGTGTTGCATGAAAAACTAACAAATGTATTGCTCAACTAAAAGTTTACAATCACAAACAAAAGAACTTGCGGCCTACTTGGTCCACTATCCATCTTACTTCGGATTAGAATTGACAGATTTTAATAGGTTTTGAGTTTGTACCCTGTAGATCATGACCAGGACAAAGAGCCAAGTATAAAGCATCTGTAAATGTCCCAACACAGAATGAGTATAGCGGTGTCATACTATCCACCCCTAAAAATGTCACCAAACCTCCAGGAAAGCTGCAGAAAATCCCTATCCGACTAAAACACTTAGAGATTGGCAAGGGATGAGATATACCTCCATGCCATGCATTGTAGTCTCCATCAAAATACTCCAGACACCAAGATTCAGCATGGCGGCCCAACCAGCAGTTCTCCTTTTGGCCTCTTCTTGGGATAGATGAATAAGTGAGACCCAGCTCCCAGTAGATCTTCCCACTCACATCAATCTCCCAATAATGGTGTCCAGAGTTCCAGCACTGGATGCTCAAGACATTCAGAGTGGTGTCGAAGCGTCCCTCGTGCTCCGGGACGTCCTGCCATTCATCTGTGAAAGTGGCGCAGTCCCCTTTAGATGAAACGATTAACTTGGGATGAGCAGTGGAAGGGTCCAGGACCACTTCTGAGGAATCTGGAAAATGAAGATAAATGAAAAGCTGATGTTAATTTAGTCATTAACATCATTAAAGTCATTCAATTAATTGAAAAATAGGTGACTTTTTTCTTCTGTAGAATATTTTCAAAGATTTTTAGCTGAAACTGTGGTCCTTGGTGAGTATAGCTGCACACTATATTGAAAAAGTATTGTTATTGCGATAATAGCGTATGCAATATGCATATCACAGAGCAGTGGAATAAATCTGTTCTAAGCATTTGTGTGCTTTGTGTGCATAACAAGTTTATCCGAATCTGACCAATCAGACGGACCCTTTACTATCTTCATCCCCACTTCTCTTGTTGGTGTAGTTAAGTGAACCTAGGGCTGAAAATAAACACTGGGAGATAAGAGAGAAAAATGACAACAGCTTTTAAAATTAAGAATATCCATAATATCCAAATATTCAGTCATTGGTGGTGTTTTAAAGTAAAAGTGTTTGCATGTTAAATGTTATTTTTGTCTGATCATACTTACTCCCTGGGCCGTTTTATATCGAAGCTGATATTTAGCCGCAACATATTGGTGTTTTGCAACATCTAATTTTTACGAGGTGGGTCGTTAGCCCAACGATCAACCCCCAACCTGAAGGACTAGGACATACACGCATACACTACAGATAATTTAGCTTACCTAATTCACCTATAGCGCATGTCTTTGGACTTGCGGGGGAAACCGGAGCACCCAGGTGAAACTGACGCGAACACATGCAAACTTCACATGCCAACTGACCCAGCTAGGGCTCCAACCAGCCAACTGACCCAGCTAGGGCTCCAACCAGCCAACTGACCCAGCTAGGGCTCCAACCAGCCAACTGACCCAGCTAGGGCTCCAACCAGCAACCTTGCTATGAGGCGACAGCGCAACCCACTGCACCACCGTGCCACCCTTTGTCATAACATTCATTTATTTATTCATTTTCTTTTTGGCTTAGTCTTTTTATTAATCTGGGGTCATAACAGCGGGATGAACCACCAACTTATCCAGCACATGTTTTACACACCGGATGCCCTTCCAGCTGCAACCCATCTCTGGGAAACATCCATACACACTCATTCACACTCATATACTACGTACAACTTATAGTATATAGACATGCTGTACCAATTCACCAGTACAGCATGTCTTTGGACTGAGGGGGAAACTGGAGCACCCGGGGAAAACCCACTTGAACGCAGGGAGACTACGCAAACACACAGAAACGCCAACTGACCCAGCTGGGGCTCGAACCAGCGACCTTCTTGCTGTGAGGCAACAGCACTACCTACTGTGCCACCACATCGCCCTTGTCAAAACATAAATAAATTATTTTTAAAACTGCCTATAAGATAGCATTTTGCAAGTTAGTTATATTGTGTGACATATTGTTATAGCAACACTTGACAACAATATCGCATATCACACATTTCCCAGTATCATGCAGACCTATAAGTCATTTTTCACCAGCATTTTGAGAAGCACAAAATGCATAAATAAACTGAATGAACTCTTGAAGAAACATTTGAGGTCCTGTGAAGTGATATAGCTTTGTGCATGTTCACATGAAACTTTTTATTTACAGTGGATTATGAATCATATGTAAATAATCAGTTATTTTTTAAACACTGATCTCACTTGATAAGAGCTCAATGTATCATCAAGAGCCATTAGCCATCCCGTGTGAAAAAATACTATGGTTAATAGTACAGTATGCTGTAGCATTTGTTAACATAGTTGTAAAAACTATAATATATTGAGCAAAATACATTTAATATAGTATGATTCAAAAAGACTACAGTATTTACCAATCTGCTTGTAAATATTTTTATTATTTTATAAATCACCAAAGACCACGGTTTCAAGTAAAAAAAAAATAAAAATCAGATAACATCTTGATGACATAAAATATAAATAATTTCAGCAAATAAAAAAATAATAATTAATTAGATTTTTATACAGTTGTAATTATCACTCTAATTCTGTACAAATAGGGAAGTCCACACTGCAAAAGAGAAACCATATAACTGGAATTAACCTTAACATACACAGTTAAAGTCAGAATTATTAGCCTCCCTTTAATTTTTTTCTTTTTTAAATATTTCCTAAATGATGTTTAATAGAGCAAGGAAATTTTCACAGCATGTCATGTATTATTTTTTTCTTCAGGAGAAAGTCTTATTTGTTTTATTTTGCCTAGAATAAAAGCAGTTTTTATTTTTTTTCAAAAACATTTTAGGGTCAAAATTATTAGCCCCTTTAAGCTATATATTTTTTCATTAGTCTACAGAACAAACCATTGTTATACAATAACTAGCCTAATTCCCCTAACCTGCCTAGTTAACCTAATTAACCTAGTTAAGCCTTAAATGTCACTTTAAGCTGTGTAGAAGTGTCTTGGAAAATATCCAGTACAATATAGTTTACTGTCATCATGGCAAAGATAAAAGAAATCAGTTATTAGAAATGAGTTATAAAACTATTATGTTTAGAAATGTGTTGAAAAAAATATTCTCTCTGTTAAACAGAACTTGTGGAAATAAATACCGGGGGGGGGCTAATAATTCTGACTTTTTTCACCTAGCAAAATTTAGAATCACTTAATGTGAACAATGTTTAGAAAAGCAAAAGCATTTAAAAATGTCGCTATTGTTTGAGTCATCATTCAAATTCCTGAGACCCTTCCATTTTATTTCATCACAGACTTTTACATGAGTTCTATTAACTCAGCCAGTGAACATTCAACCCAACATAAGTGTTTGCATTAAGAAAGTTTACACCTATATTTACTGTCATCCACTTGTGAACAGACTGACAAAATGCTTAATACCTGGTGTAATTTGGAGCCCAAGCAAGTCTACTATTTTGTTCAGTGAGCTAAAAACACACTTGTATTTATTACAAGGCTTTCATGGACAAGATCAACACTTTTATGTGTCATAGTAACTCACAGCTCTTCAGCAGCCTTTTGGCGACAGGGATCTGGGAGCGGATAAACAGTAGTAAATTGTTGGTGAGGCCCAGTAGCTGATCTGATTTCACCTCATCAAGTTTTATGAGACCTGGGTCTGTCCCTGTTAGCAATTCCAGCATCCTGCCAACAAAAAGATATTATCTCCACAGATAGCACATGTCCTCTCTATAAAAGGCTCAGGGTTATAGGGTTAGCACCTGATTAAGTTCTTTATATAAACTATCAATTGTCCCAAATACCATACCATATTTCATTCATTCATTTTCCTTCAGCTTAGTCCCTTTATTATCATGGGTCGCCACAGCGGAATGAACCGCCAACATAAGCCTGGCTTATACTTCTGCGTCAAGTGATCGGCATGACCCACGGCACATGCAACGCTCGTAGCTGTGCATTTATACTTCTGCGCACTTTCTGTTGGTCTCTACAATCTCTGCAACAATCTCTGCAATAATAATGCCCATGAAATCGATACGATTTCATAGTGGCACTCACAGGCTAGCATGCCTGACATAGTGACAAAATAACCTCTGATAAATGTGCTTCTAAATATACATACCTTTCCTCATTCATTGTGACCTATAAGAGAGAGAGCAAGAGAGAAAGAAACACATAGTGAGTTACATAGATGATATTTCTCATTGTAACACAGTGGCTATTTGAATTATTTGACATGTGATATTTTCATGACAGCCTGATAACACAAAACAAGGCCACAACTTTTGTCAGAAGCTGTTCTTCTGATTAAAAGCTCACCATTTCACCAGGCTGAGAGTGAATGTCCGCCATGGCTTCATTTAGCTGGACCTCGATGTCGCAGAGGATGGCATGGTTTGTCTGAATGAGCTTGTCCAGTGCTCGTAGCACCGCCATCTCCTCCATCTCCAGCAAAGACATGGAGATCCTGCAATCCTCCTCTAGAACCTTTCGCATCTCTTCATACTTCTTCACTATACTCTCCCTCATTGCAGATGACTTTGACTGAAGAAGTGGAAGAGATTTTTTATAACTAGACTCAAATAATAAATAAATACAAATAATCATTTTTACTTTGTTTATTTTAATTAAAAGGTTAATTAAATATTCCAAAATCAAACCATGCACACTATCATTCAAATGTTTGGCAATGGTAAGATTTCATTCATTTATTCATTCATTTTCTTTTCAGGGTAGTCCCTTTGTTAATCAGGGGTCGCCACAGCAGAATGAACTGCCAACTTATCCAGCACATGCCGCAACTCATCACTGGGAAACACCCATACAATCCTGCAATCACTCACATACACTTCGGCCAATTTAGCTTGCCCAATTCACTTATATAGTGCATATCTTTAGACTGTGGGGTAAACCAGAGCACCCGAAAGAAACCCACATGAACACCGGGAGAACATGCAAACTCCACACAGAAATGCCAACTGATTCAGCAAGGGCTTGAACCAGCGACCTTCTTGCTGTGAGGCGATCGTGCTATGCACTGCGCCACCATGACGCCCATGGTAAATAAAGGTTTTTTATTGCCTTTATTGTGATAGGACAGTAGATACTGACTGGAAGTGAAGTTGGGATGAGATCAGGAAAGGTCAACGATTTCGGACTCAAACTTGGCATGTCCAGAGTGTAGGTACACTACGTTTTTCAATGCACTGACCACTAGGCTACTGGTGCAAGGGGAAAAAAACAACTAAGGCTGAATTAACTTTAATCGAATAAATAGTAATTATGACAGCAATAATAAACAGAAAATGATACTGCATTTTTTTCAAACAAACAGAACTACTAACAAATACAGTACAAAATCCATACAAATTAAACATAAATTTATACAAAATGACAAAAAAAAAAAAAAATTATCTTATAAATAATTTTAAAATAAAAGTTTCGAATTTGATGTATTTGAAAATGCTTTTATCCCTGCTATTTCAAAGTTGACAATTCAGAAACACGATGTTTCAGAAATAAGTCTAGCATTATGATTTGATGCTGAAGAAACAAAAAAAGTTTCACTGAAAAACTGTATTTCTTAGAAATACAAATGTATATTCTAAATATATTTTGTCACTTTCAATCATTACAATTTATATCTGCTAGATACAATAATAAATAAAAATATAAAACAAACCTATTTTGAGCAATAATGTAATGCAGCCACAAAAAATGCCTTATTAATTAAGCAAGCCTTAAATTAGCCTCCCCAGTTTTATTTTGTATTGTTAAAAACACACATTTTAGCAGCAGTGTAATATTTTCTTATACTTATTTTCTTAATTATGAAAAAAATAAAATAAAAAATTATATATATAGTTCTGACTTACTTTGATTTCATTTTGCTTGCTGGTCAATTTCTTCAATCTACATTTGATCACTTCCCTTTGCCTTGTAAGATGGTCCTGGATACTTCTTTCCATGTCTGGATAGGAAAACAAACACAAAACAGAATATTTTTGAACACTTTGAAATATTCATTCACATATACATGATGAATAGAAATAAATTAAAAACATATTTATCTTTTAAACATTCATTGTTTATTTGAATAAAAAAGACACTCAAACTCACCTGCCTCTTTCATGCCACCTTGTTTGCTCCGAATGGTCAAACTGAGACGGTCCTTTATGTTCCTTTTCAACAAATCCTCCGGGAGTAAACCTGCAACTATCTAGACCATCCAGCAAGAGATATTTTGAGGAACGCATGCTTCACTAATAGTGAAAGCAGATCAGATGGGTGGGTCACAGTGGCACGATCCTGCCAGTGATAAATGCCATTCACCTTGACTTGTCGCTATGCTGCATCTGTCACTGCACAGCCAATCGCCACCTGTGACAGCAAACTCACATGCCACTTCCTCCCCACGCCAATTTTAGAGCTGGTATTCAAAGAAGGGTATAGTGAGACATCGTCCCATGTGGATTCATAACAAGCAGGCTTTGTAATACAGCCTGCGTGTGCACTCTACAATGCCTATTAATGTTACTTGGAATGAATCAAAGTGAAAGTGAATTCTGGGAAATGCAGGATGAGAAGGTCAGTCTTCGTGTAGAGACGCACGTTATAATTCAGAATGAGGATGAGAGCGAATCGAACAGAATACATGTAAATGAAAATAATCAAATATGTTTAACTTTGAGCTCTCAGGTGAACCCAGCAGATGGCAGCAGAGCTTGCATATGGCTGGACATATGGGGGAGAATTAAATGAATCCCTTCTGAATAAGAAGATTTATGGGATTTCTGACTGAAAATAATGGAGATAATGTTAATGAAAATGATGATGTCATACAGACACTTAGTCATTACAAATACTACCATCCATGCTGGTACTACAAAACTGTAACAGTTGTAGTTTGTATATCATTAGCTATAAACAACTTACGAGCGAATACATTTAAGAAATAATAAAAAGAGAACAGATAAGATAAATGTACAAAATTAACATTTAATTTCTCTAAATATTTTGATACTTTTTTAAAAAATGTAAATAAACATGTGTATGAATTTATTTCTACACTGTAAAAAATGATGACAAAAAGTCAAGACTATATTTTTATGTTGCTTTAACTTATTAAATTATAACTTAAGTTCATCATGTTTAAACTACAATTTTAGATTTGTTTAGCTTTAACATTTTCAAATTGTAAAAAGTTAAACTTTATATTTTAATTCAGTTTAGTTGATGTAAGTCAGCGTTTCACAACCACATTCCTGAAACAGCACTGAATGTTTTGCATGTCTCTTTTGTCCATCACATCCATTACAAGTCTTTCTTTCTGTCTCTACTGATGAGTGATAATTTGAATCAGGTGTTTGGTTAAGGAGTCATGGAAAATGTGTAGAGTTGGTGGTCCTCTAGGAACGTGGTCGAGAAACACTGATGTAAGTTGAGATGACAGGAAAATAGGGCGGGGCGATATTGCAAAAAAAACAAAACAAATAAATCACAATATCATGTTTCATATCATTCGATAATAATAATTATTGAATATTTTTAACAATACATTAAGGAATATTGATTTATTTTTTTAACCCTTTTTTGTAATTTATCAACATTACTAAGGCAAATAGTTTTAATAGTCAAAAAACAAAAATACTTAAACAAAATACTGTATATCATTTGATTCAACAAAAAATATTGCAGCAAGAAGTGATTTTAGAGTGTATTATTGTTATTGTTTATAATAAATAACAATCTAACAAATATATGTAATACTACAATGTGATACATTTTAAAATATAAAATTGCAGTCAAATATTGAAATAAATGCAAATAATGAAATTAATAATTAGTATATATTATAATTATTAACTGCTATTTTTTTTAAATTGTATAAATAAATGAATGTATGTATGAATATGCACAACAATGCATTTTTTATGCAATGCAAATTTAAATGAATGAATGAATGATGGGTGAATTAATTACAGTTTTTGCATTCTATCTTAGTCACATCATTAGGAAGACTTTAAAAATGTATATTTAAATAAGATATTAAATATATAGTCTAAAACAGGTCGCATCATCATTATTATTTTTTTAAACTATTAATATTTTTTATAGAACTGTATTGTACAAACATGTGAATGTATGAGTGGATGATTCCCAACAGCTTGCATTCTTTTCTTAATAGCACCCTTGGAAAAATACAATTATGCAAATGAATAAATAATTATTAGTGCATTATAAATGATGTGGTAACTTCAAATACATATCTAAATGAATCAATAATTTAATGCAGTGGGCCTAAGTTAATCCACATTTGATAATAGTGCTCTAGATTTCATCCACTCTCAGCTTTTATCCGTCTAAAAGTGTGTGTGCGCACCCACAAGAAGTGGAAAACTTACACAACAAACACTGCATGGAAAAACCCAAATAAAGCAAGATCTGACTTATCTTCAGTGATCTTCCTTTGTCCTTGCTCTGCTCCCAAGTGCAACAATAAAGCACAGTCAGCTTTAGGTGTGCTCTAATAAACGCAGGCCTGAGCACATTACTGGACTCAAGGGTGGATCGGGAAGACCACTGTGATCCATAATCCACCTTTCATCAGAATTTCCTGTGGAAATAAAGTCCCTCCATTTCTCCAATCTCCACCATTAGACAGCAAAACCTTGACCCCACCGTCAACCTCCCCTCTGGTCCCTCTTTAACCCACTGTCTATTAGGCAGCTCAATTTAAATCCCTGCATTTGGACTTTAATAAGAGAATATTTGCTCCTGTATTTTAACCTTGTTATCCAATATCCTGTTCCATATTCCTTGGCGTGTTCGCTGTGGACTGCTTTAATACAGAAAGGGTGCTTTACTTGAGGCCCACATGGAGAAAGCAGGTCTTTAATTTTGCTTTTATCTTCTTGTATTTATTTATTTACTGCTTGCTTGTGAAGGCAGCTCATATAATTCTAAATACATGTAAAGTAAGGATAAAGATTAGTAGTTTGCGTTACTGAATATGTCAGTCATTTTGTTAAATATTATTAAAAGTTACTTTCAGGATTAAAAAAACACTTAAGTGCAGAATTTGTGCTTTGCTTTTGTGGAATAGTAATAATAATAACAACGAAGCAAAATACGTGCTTTAAATAGTGCCTTTAAAATTCCCTTTCTTAAGTGCTTTACACAAAATTTTGCCTTAATCAATACAATATGCATTAGAAACAAAAAAAGATATGAAATAAAGAACAGATCAATAGAAAACGTTCGAGGTTACTAAAGTAACCCTTCGTTCCCCGAGGAGGGGAACGGAAGCACTATAAGTGGATTTGATTGTAAAATCCACGCATTGGGAGGTTCGGTTCAGAAGCTACTCGTCTGAAAGAGTATTGAACGGGCCAATTAAGAATGAATTGGCAGCGCAAGCCTGCGCAGGTGAGCGGCATAAGCAATCAACTGAGTATATAAGCTCACCTGGCGCCAGCAGACGCTATCCTTTTTAAGCTGAAGAGACTTTCAACAGCTAAGGGACAGTCATTATGGCGACGGAGTATAGTGCTTCCGTTCCCCTCCTCGGGGAACGAAGGGTTACTTTAGTAACCTCGAACGTTCCCCTTCGGGGGGAACTTCAGCACTATAAGTGGATTTGATTGTAAAATCCACGCATTGGGAGCCCATTGAAAGCGCCATAATGACTGCACCTTACCAACACCCCCGATGAGGAGATAGTCAAGCAAGCGTGACGCACCCACATCATGGGGGGCGCGGTCCTCCAACGTGTCCCTGGCCCTAATTTATCCTACTTCAACAGAAGTTTTACGGATTTATATATATTTTTTGGGAAGTCGTGAGCATCTAGATAATTCTAGGAAAATACGACAGTACGTTGGGAAGCGTGCAATCCCGATAGGGAGGACGCTGCGGAGGCAATCTGTTACCCAAGGGGGGATAGATGGCAGAATTTACATATGGACTAGCCCTAAAAAGGGGGAGTACGCATAGCAAAAGAGTGGTTAGCGGGGAGGGAAGACACGGGTCCGCCCAGGGGGGGGGGACTTAACCGTGGCTGAATAAGCATATGGGATCGCCTAGTGGGGACCACGCATAGCAGGCACCTTTACCCAAAATGCGGGCTGACCAGCGGGCAGACCTACAACGTAGTGGGCCAGCAAGTGACTCCTCCGCTGAGTCAGTGCTGGGGGCCACGGAGGAATCTGCAGGGCTCACCTGACGGGGAACTTTACTGACAGATAAAAAGGCGCACGTATCTCCGTGTTAGGGAAAATGGCGCAGCAAGCGTGTTTCAACACCCTACCGAATTGTTTCCTCAATCACCAAGGGTTACCTAATACCCTTGAGGAAACCGGCTCCACTCGCAGATTGTAAAACCTTGCAAATGTGTTGGGTGTTGCCCAGCCCGCAGCTCTACAGATGTCTGTTAGAGGGGCGCCGCGTGCGCGCGCTCGAGAGGATGCGAAGCTCCGAGTGGAGTGCGCACGCGCTCTCGGGGGACGCGGCTCATCTCGGCTCTGATAGTGAAAGAAAGGCATCCACAATCTAGTGGGAACTTATTTCGGTACGGCACTTCCCTGCTGCCGACCGCTATAACAGACGAAGAGCTGCTCAGATGATCTAAACTCTGAGTGCGGTCCGGATAATACGCAAAACGCGAACTGGACAATAAGAAGGGCTGGGTCTGCCTCCTCCGAGGGCAGCGCTTGCAGGCTCACTACCTCGTATTAAAACGGAGTGGTAGGAACCTTGGGCACATATCGCGGGCGGGGTCTCAGGACGTGAGAGAAGCCAGCCCAATTACAGGCACGAGTCACTGACCGAAAAATGCCTCCGGGTCCCCGACCCTCTAATCGATATCAACGCGACCAGCAGAGCTGTCTTCAGGGACAGAAAGATACTGAGTCGAGGATCGAAGGGATCTGACGCGGCTTGTGTAGCGAGGGCGAGATCCTAAGAGGGCATGAGAGGGGGCGGGGTGGATTAATTCGCTTAACGCCCCTGAGGAACCGGATGATGAGGTTATGCGTTCCCACGGTGCTGCCAGCCACCGCGTTAAGAGCGGAGATGGCAGCCACGTAACCTTGAGTGTGGAGGGCGACAGCCTGCTCTCCAACTTCTCTCAGCGTAAAGAAAGCACAACGCTGATCTGGCAAATTACGGGGGTCTTCTCAGCGAGAGACACACCATTCAGTGAATAGACTTCACGTCAGGGCATAGGCGCGCTCGGGGAGGGGGCTCTAGCCCGAGTGACGGTATTAGCCACCGCAATCGGAGGTTACCTAAGTCTTCCTCGCGTCTAAAAATCTCTTCAAAGATCGGCGAGGGTGCCAGGTGGTGCCCTGTCCCTGAGAGAGTAGGTGCTCTCTCGAAGGGACTGCCAGGGGAGGGCTATCGCGAGGGAGAGCTCTGACATCCAGGTCCGGTTGAGCCAGAGGGGCGCAACCAGCAAACTGTTCCTCGTCCTCCCTGATTTTGCACAGTAACTGCGCGAGCAGGCTCACTGGGGGAAACGCGTATTGCGCGTGCCCCGAGGCCAGCTGTAAGCCAGTGCATCCGTGCCGAGAGCACTCGGTCAGGGAAAGAACAACTGGCAATGAGCGATCTCGGGGGAAGCAACAGATCGATCTGGGCTTCCCCGAATCGCGCCCATATCAGCTGAACAGGCTCGGGGTGGAGTCTCCATTCTCCAGGACGCAAGGCTGCCGTGAGAGCGCATCGGCTGCACGGTTGAGCTTGCCTGAATATGAATGGCGTGCAGCGATTTCAGCCGCGGATGACTCCAGAGGAGCAGACGGCGGGCGAGCTGAGAC